GTTGGCTTCATTCCTTTCATAACTATGTAAGTTTAAATAGCTTGCCAGTCTGAAAAGTCTACAAACTATACGATTCCAACCAAATGACATTCTGGAAAAGGCACAGCTATAGGAACAATAAAAAGATCGTAGTTTCCAGAGGTTTGGGGAGAGGGAGGGAGGAAGGAATGAATAGATGGAGTACAAGGGATTTTTAGGGCAATGAAATTATTCTGTATGATACTATAGTGGTGGCTATACATCATTATGCACTTATCAAAACCCATAGAATGTATAACATCAAGAGTGAACCCTAATGTAAACTATGGATTTTGGTTGATAATAATGTGTCCATGTTGGTTCTTCGATGGTACCAAATATGCCACACTGATGAGTGATGTTGAGGGTAGGGGAGTATTTATGTGTGGGTGGGGAGGGCTATGAGCGAACTCTTTGTATTTTCTGTTCAATTCTGCTGTGAACCTGAAACTGCTCTAAAAAAATAAAGCCTATTAATAAATTAAAAAAAAACAAGACCCATATATATGCTCTCTGTAACAGCTAGAGACACATGCAGGCTGAAAGTAAGGAGATGGAAAAGAATATTCTAGGCAAATGGAAACCAAAAGAAAGCTGAGTAGCAATACTTGGACAAAATACATTTTAAAATACTGTTACAAGAATCCATCAGAGATAAAAAAGAGAGTACTTGAAAATGAAATTTTTTCATGTTTGCTTAATTGTGGAAACATATGACAAATATTGCCAAAAGCTACTAGAAAACAAATTGGATAGAGAATACAAAATTATATAAATCTCTCATAAAAAATAAAAATCAAAAAATAATGAAGAGTTTATAAAATATGGATGAATCCAGGAGATAAATACCACTCTAAAAGAAATCCAGAACAGGTCACACAGAATAGAGGTAATAAAAGAAGAAACAACAGAACATCTGCCTGAAGAGAAACATGAATCTTCAGATTTAAAGAACATACATTAACACTTTTAAATACAAAGAAATTTCCGGAAAAAATGTAAAAATGTCTAGCTCAATATGATTACATTTCTGAAATATAATTAACAATCTTTAAAGCCTATGAAAGTAAATAAGCAGTGACTGGCCACAAAGACATGAGACTCAAACTGACACCTGATTCATCCTCAGCAAAAATCAGTAATAGAAGGAAATAGAAAAAGAGATGCTTACAATTTCCTGAGGACAATAACTATTTTTTCACCCAGAACTATATACAACCAGTCAAATAGCCATTAATACAACAAAGAAAACTAAGTAGATCATAAAACTATAAACCATAAATCCCTGAACACATTTTATAAAATATCAGAATTTAATTTGTCAAAACAGCATGTGACATAAGAAAGAACTGAGAATATAAGGGACCAGCATTAACTAGTTTCTGGTAAAGCCAGAGAAGACAGTTACTGGGGTCATAAATGGAAAGGAAGTGGTTCTGTGGTTTACTGAACAGGTAGCATAAGACTGCTAACTTCCGAAGGATGTACATGCATGTTAAGCATCCCTCCATCATGCCCATGGACACTGTCACATGCCGAGGACTCAGAGACTGTGATGCCCTGAAGTATGAGAAGTGGCATTGCTCCACCAATCAGCTGAAAATCTAAAGCTATAAAGACGAGTTCTCAAGTAGGCAAATGAGATGAAAAAATCTGCAATAAAAGAAAAAATGACAAGTCTACTGTCATTTATTGCAGTGAACTCAAACTCAGGTAAAATATCTCACCCATTTACAATGTTTCCTTGAATAAATCATTCTGTGTGCCTTCTATATATAAAACTTTATTCACTAGCATTTATCAGGTCTAAAATGATGTAAAAGTGAAAGCTAACTCCAAAACTGGTGGAATTACATGAGCTAATAGCAGGGTGGCACCTGAAGGGCCTCACACATGGCCATTCTTAAATTACAAGAACTACTGCTCTCACAAATTACCTTTACTACTGAGACAACAAAATAACCTGCATGCTTATAGGCAAGTCTAAATTATTAGCACATCATTGTTAAGAATGGAAAAAATAGAGAAATTAAGGAACTAGCCCGAGGTTACACAACTGGCAAAACGCAACCAGTTAGCATTCAAATTCAGTTCTGCCTGGCATGGAAAGTTTGTTTGTACCACACCTTTTCCTACTGATTCAAGAAAAGACAATAATAACTTGAAATACAATCTACCCTTACTTATTTGCAAATGTATTATCCTTTTCTTAGTGGCTGTGGATTGTAACAGTCATCTGGGAGCCCATTTAGGGCACCTATCTAATGGCATCAGTGCTATCAAGTCAAAAGGAAACTTGGAATAAATACAAAAGAGTGAAAAAATGAAAAAATTATTAATATTCAACATGTAAGCAAACTAGTAAAATGATTTCTATAAAACATGTGACATAGGGGAAAAGAGTAAACACTTGCAAAAAATCACATCTTGTTTATCCTCTTGCAATATATACAAATATCAAATTATGTTGTATCCCTGAAACTAACATAATACTGTAAATCAACTATACAAAAAAAGTAAAAATAAAAAATAATTTTTAATCATAGGGGGAAAAAAAAACCCTCAGTCCAGGCTGAAAAGCAGTGGTTTTCTGCACTGCTCAAAAATAAGAAAAATCCATACTTACCTGCACAGTAGAGACATAACAGATCACCTAAAGCCTGGGGATAAGTTGGGGAGAGAGTATCTTCTTTGGGAAAATAAGATAATCAAAACCACTTGCATACACCAGGGAATTTAGAAAGCCATACACATACACAGGACAGAATACATGCTGGGAAAAGAGCTCAGAAGACCTTAAGCTTTCACCTCAGCTGATCTCTACAGCACTGCAAGCAGGATGTGAAAGCTAGGACAGTTGAATATGGACATGCTAAGTACTAAATAACCCCAGCACAGAGCCCGTTTGCAAAGACTGTGAAAGATGGAGGTTTGGGAGGTTTATTCAGCTTTAGTTTTATCCCAGCCTTCAAGGGGAAGTCTGTCAAAACACTAACTGA